TGTACCTCTGGTGCAAATTACTGACCTCTGTCATCATTTTAGGTGGGGGAACTTGCACAATCGGTGGCTGACTAAATACTTTTTTGCCCCACTGTAACTAGGAGAGGTCTGCAGAGATGTGGAAGCCAAGGAATTTGAAGGACTCCACTCACTCTACACATTCTCTGTTGATGTGCAGGCGGGCAGGGGCAGTTCTGTTCTGCCTGAAGTGCAGGATGAGTTCCTTGGTCTTGGTGATGTTAAGTGCCAGGTTGGTTGATGCACACCATTCTCCCAGTCTCAGGACCTCATCTCTGTAAGCCGCCTCATTTCCCCCTGTGATCAGCCCCATCACTGTTGTGTCATCAGCAAATTTGACAATGATGTTCTCTGGGTGGGCGGGACTGCAGTCATACGTGTAGAGGGAGTAGAGTAGTGGGCTTAGTACACAGCCCTGGGGGGAGCTGGTGCTGAGAGTGTGAGGGGAAGAGAGGTGAGGACCCAGTTTCACCTGCTGGGGTCTGTTGACCAGGAAGTCCTTTATCCAAGAGCAGGTGGATGGCGGGAGCCCCAGGCTGGCTGACTTGGTGATCAAAATGTCTGGAATTATTGTGTTAAAGGCAGAGCTGAAGTCGATGAAGAGCATTCTGACATAGTTCCCCTGTTGTTCCAGGTGGCTCGGTGCTGTGTGCAGTGCGATGGCTATGGCGTCCTCAGTATGTGAATTGGTGTGGGTCCAGAGTAGGGGGGGAGGCAGGTTCTGATCATATTTCATTTAGTTGAACTTGAAATGTTTGTCAGTAGGTAAACAATTAGTATTGTACAGTCAGAAATATCAAGTTATTCTTAATACTGCAGACTTGCACTGTATAAGTCGTCCTAACAGTCATCTTAAGTAAGCTTTACTTTTTTGAGGCAACGAGTTTCCTTCATTTTTTTGAGTTCTGGGAACTAACAAGGCTGTACAGTGTACTCAAAATGAGTAAGTTGCCCTAACTTGGTCATCTTACGTAAACTTGATCCAATTTGTTTGAGTTCTGGGAACAAATGAGCTTGTACAGAGTACTCAAAATAAATAAGTTGTCCTAATTTAGTCATTTTTAGCTAAGCTTTACTCAATTTTTTTGAGTCAACGAGTTTCCTCAATTTTTTTGAGTTCTGGGAACTAATTAGATTTTACAGTGTGGGGTCTGACCCCAGCCTCTATGGATCTTGTGCTCAGAGCTTGTTCCTGTGCTGCCATGATTAGTGCCACTGTGCTGTCTTTCAGTCCAGCTTTGTCCAGCCACTGGAAGGATTTCTGCTTAGCGTACAGCCTCAGGGTGCTGGACTTATGGGTGAAACCCTCCATGCATGGTCAGGAGCTTCCTGGTCTTGATGTCGGTGGCTTCTATCTCCTCCTTTGTCCATCTTATTATCCCAGCAGGGGTGTGTTTCTTTGGAAAGGTATTTTATGTTCTCAAATGCCCCATCCATAGACATCCATAGACATCCATAGACATCCATAGACACTGGAATGCTTGATTTAGACCTCTATGTAGTAGCTTACGATGTAACCTGAAACCCCTTTTAACTCGATGCCATAATCTTCCAACCCATTCAAGCATTACGGCACCAACATCAGGAAAAATGTTCATGAGAAAATAGAGAAGTACCAGGGGAAACAGCAGTCCCAGTGGTAAAGGAGCTGTAACCCACAAACTGGAAGAGTGGGTCCTGCAGATACCAGGTACAACATCAGACTCTAACCAGTCCTACGATACAGCGGCGCTCTGTTAAGACAAGGAAGGCAAGGACTGACTTCCTAATCAAATCTAAAAATAGTCATAAACTAAAATGTACTACAGTAAAAATGATGTCTCACCTTTCATTTCAGCATCATAAAGCTCCTTCTCTGTTTGTATCTATCCTTTACATACCTGCCATCTTGTGGCTGCAGATGGCTATTGTCACAGGAAGCATTCACAAGAAACCTGATTGGTTCTTGCCATAATATGAATTCTAACAGTTGTTAAATAGGGCCGCCAGCTGTGTACCACCCTGACTTCTGCACTGATGATCCCAAATCCCATGAAGAAGGCAAGAAATTCCAGAGATGAACCCTGACAAGGCAAACCTGTGGGGTGAAACCATTTCAGGTGACAACGTCATGAAGCTCAGTGAGAAAAGTGCAAGGGTTTGCACTGTCAACAAAGCAAAGCGTGGCTCCTTTCAGGAATCTCAAATATAAAACACATTTAGAGTTACTGATCATTTTTTTCGACTATATTCCCCATTTGTTGTGGATTATGGAGTTGAAGCAGCAGCTGCAGAATGCTTTGACAAAAGTTGACATATTTCAGTTACTTCATTTCAAACCCTATTTACAGGAACATCATGATCAAAATCAGAGTTCAGAACAAGCAGGCAGTCTTTAAATAACAGAAGGGCTCATAAGCACATCGAACTAAGTAAAAAGCATGTGAAATACCAGCAGCAGGCCAGAACAACAACCTCTAACAACAAAAGACAGAGGAGGGAAGACGCAGTAAGAAATGCTTTTTCTAAGAGACTACATCACACGTGCACCATTAAAATGCATAGTTTATGTAAATGCTGTTAAGATGAATGGAAAATGGGTAAAAATAAATGGTCAGAAAATAGAGCTCAAACTATTTCTCTCGTGTGTTGTTATGTGTTCATAAGCGATTGTCTGTTCTTACTTAATTCACTTAATGTGCAGACTTTACCTGCTTGCTGCATACATGCTACTACTGCACATCCACCTAATGTATATGTTATATTATATAATGCCCCCCCCTTTTGCTCAAGTCAAGGAGCGTGTCAGGTTACATTTGATTGTGTGTTGTAACTATGCATGTGACGAATAAAGACCCTTGAACCTGAAACATGTGGCAGGATAATGTTTTTAAGTTTGATAGCTGTCCTTAAGTGATGTCACCTGAGTCAGGGTCAGCTGCCCTTTGAGTTATTAAAAGTGTAAATTGGTTGGTGTACATTTACACTGCTCAAATCTGCTGCATGCTAAAGGCTACCTCCATCACTGACTGCCCTGTTGGAGGTTGTGTTCAACTGCAGTAAACTTAGGCTTTGATAAAAAATAATAATAATGTCATTTATTCTCCTTCTTCATAGATTTTTATCCTTATTTTTAAACAGTGTGGTCTTGCAGACTGTCACCTATGGGACGGCAATAAGAGAAATTAACCAGGAAGGTGAAATGATAAAACCACTTAATAAAGCCACTACTCCACTTTTTGTCTGTATAAAGAGAAACTTAGTTTAAAAGCTACGGTGGATTTGGGGTGAAATATGCAGGTGAAACTGGTCAAACTGAAATTAAAATATTATCAAAAATATATTAAAAATGACTCTTTAATTTTAACTTCCCCAAACCACTTTCATTTTCTAGTGTGGTGAGTGTCTGTGATGCCTGGGATAGATTAGTATTGCTGTAAAGTACGAATGTAAAAGTAATACAGAGATCCATACATACATTTAAAACACTGATATCTGTAAATACTAACATGTCAAATTATCAGTCAGTTAATGTCTGCGTGATTATTATTATTATTTATTATTGTTGTTTTTGTTAATAATTGATTTTGGCAACTTCAGTCCTTCACAGATGGAACCAGTTTTCTGGTCATAACTCACAATATGAGCGGATGACTGGTGGACAGGTAAATAAATATGCCTCCTAATTAAAATAGCACTCGTAATTAGCACCGCTGCTACCTGAAACCAGCAGCACATTTCTAATCTCACACTCAGACAGGAGTACAGGGCGAGGATGCGAGTGCTTGTGGAAAGGTTGTACACACACTCTGTTTAGTCTAATAAAACCTCAGTTTTTTCTTTCATTGTGCACCTTTAAACAGCTAACAGTGCCCATGTAACCTGCAGCAAGGCAGCTATCAAAAATGTTGTCCTGCCCCCCAGGGCTCCGTTTCGGCATGTGCATTTTGTCCAGATGTGTGAACCTCTGTCCAGCACCTCTTTGTGTTTAGTTCTGTCTCTGACCCGCTTTCTTTTTATCAGTTCTTCCTCCTCTCCCCGATATCTCCAACTCTCCCTGAGCTCCTCTCTTCCTCCAGGTGATGACAGTGAAAAGGAGAGGTCCTGCATCCCAGGTGAGGATGAGTCAGTGCAGCCCAGCCAGTCTGCAGCAGAGGATCGTGGGTATCCATCATGCAGTGATGAACCTGGAAACATGAACTTCCAGTAGGACTCTCCTTTAAAGAGATAGACAGAGCCTGGAGAGAAAGAAAAGAAACTTCACTGAATTTAGTCTGGTTCTAGTTAAATTAAGTCAACTTTGTCCGTTTATTTGATCCTTTAATAGAAAGACCTCACACATGAATCAGATCCTCACCATTAGTGTCTGTAGTGATTCCATTCACACCCTCTTTGAGCAGTTGTGTCCAGGTGTCTCCTTGATTCTCTTGTTTGGCATCTCCAATTTTTCCCCACACAGCCCCCTCCTCCGGGTCCCAGACCAGGCCCCATCTCTCTAATGCTCCTGCTGCCTGCTCGTCATCATCGTCGTTATCAGTGTCTGCTAAATCTAAGCTGACGCCCGTCCTGAGAGCAGACAGGGGCTGAGGGTAGCCTTCTTGCAGAGACAGGTCCTTGAAGAGCCAGAACTGGTGACCTGCAGCGAGATGTCACATGAAAAGGTTAGTAAGCCAGTTCGATGATTCGCAGTGAAACACCATCGATTGTTTCAAAAAGGTTTAAGCTTGTCCACTGTGACTGCTTTGATGTATTATTTTGTGTTTACACTCTCACTTTATCATTGCATGCATGTTCTAGGCAGTGGATGTCTGTTGCCAAAGAAATAAGAAGGAAAGGTTTAAAAACCTGAAGCCACATCCAAGGCCAGATAAAGTTTAATAATTGGACACATCAGTTTTGATGCTGGAGAATTTAGTCCTTAACTGTGCTAACTGTATTTTGGTTATAGAGAATGTAATCTACAGCCAAACTGTAGGAGATGTTCAAAGATGCTATAGGACAGGTGCATGTAGGTCTTCTGAAAGTAGCAGGAAGTAAGTAATAATCTCATAAATCTCAACAAGTTCTGCTTTCTGAAGACATCACTATCTCTCAAACGTATCACTGCTTGCTTGAAAAGTAATTCAGGAATGGCTATAGGCAAATTTTATGAAAGAGACCATTTTGAAGAACACATTCAGTGTACTTCAGTGTGCAAAATGTAAAGGCTAGAAGAGATATGAGCTAAAAAAAAACTCACGTCAATCAATTGTTACAGAAATAAAGAAATAAGGAATCTTCTTAGATTTTTTAAACAGTTTCAGTAACGATTTTAATAGCCAGTCATGGTGCGTAATCTGCACTGACTGTTGTGGCCTTTACACCGTTTTACCCCTCTCACAAGTAGGTTACTGTACTGCACCACTGATAAAGATGATCGCATGATCCGAGCGCCTCTCCAGCACAGCTTGAAGATGAAGCAGGTCAGGGGGTAGACCCCTCCACAACCTCCTCACTGAAGAACCGCGCCCCGACACCAAGCCTCCGCCATTGACCCTCCACATCATCGGACCTGAAGCAATGACCCAATGAAAATAATGAATTGTGGTATCCTGTTACTATAGATACATCTTCCATAGTTAAACTACATAAACTACATTTATAAAAATCTGTTTTCAGACCTTTGAAGAAGAAAGTCTCTCCTCGAATCTTTGCCACAGCATCAAAACTGGTGTTACAGTGATCTATGGAGGGGCTGAAGGGCAGAAGCACACAGGGATACTTGTTAAAGGAATGTCGGGGTTTCATTTGGTTAACAGTAGTAGACAGCACAGCCATACTCTTTGTCCTCAGACAGGGGCAATTTTAGCCCATTTTTGGAAGCACCCCCAAAATGAATCAAAGCACCCCCAAAGATTTCTTACTTTTTTGACAATATTTGTTGTTTGTGTGACACACTACTAAAAATATAAAAAGCATACAGTACTTGGTTGAGACGTAACATTTTAACAACAAAAGTATAGATACACCCCCCCCCAAAATGGTTTGTTCCAGCTCGCCTCTCCCCTGATGGTGGCTGAGACACTGCGGAGCAGAGGTGGAAGTGCCTGGCTTAAAACAGGACATATTAGCTGCATTTAACCTTCAGTTACTCTTTATATAGTTAGATAGGAGTCAGACCATGTTTCTTTTTAGCTGAAAAACATTACACCAGGTAACCTGGGTGTAAAAAAAAAAATTGTTTTCCGGCGATGTTTGCTACCCTACAATCTGTCCTACACTGTAGTAAAATCAGTGACATTTGGTCGTCCTGTTGCTCCCATTGAAATGTATGCAGCCTATTTAAAACCTCAAACTTTAGATTGCCCGTAGCTGCTGTTGTTACCACTGTTCTGTTTTAAATCGATACTAACTAACTAACTGATCGAATGCCCATTAACCTTA